CCCCAAAACCCCAAAACCCCAAAACCCCAAAACCCCAAAACCCCAAAACCCCGAGTGGTGAAGTTGGAATTGAAATTTTAGTAGATGTATGGTGAATTGAGGTGGTAGGCTGGAGAGGATGAGAGAGAGGGTGGTTTAGGAGAGGAGATAGAGGTGTTTAAGGAAATTTTGAGGGGTTGAGGTTGAGATTTGAGGGGAGAGGTCTGTTTTAGGATTTTTGGTTAAGAAAATGTGTAGTTTTTAGAAGGTACGCTTCAGATTATTGCTTTTGTAAAAAGTTTAAATATTAGACACAGCTTAATAAGTATCAAATATTAAGTGTCTCCAACTTGCCTGAGTAAAACCCCACATTTTTCACACAAAATGCAAACTAATTCACCTAAAATTACACCAAATTGTGGAAATTTTTTAAAGAAAACTATAAGAAAAGGATAAAATAATATTGGCAAAACAACTATAAATTTTTCGAAATTTTATTTGATAAACACACCATTATAGGTTATTGATGCGAGTTAGAGAGGGTCTTTATGTAAGTCTTACGGCTTGACATTTCTTGATAAGCTTCCTCAATCGTCTCTGGGCTAAATTCTCTACCAAGCCAAGAGTATGAAAGAATCTCGAAAATTGAGGGTCTTTTACAGGGATCGGGATGAATCATTGCCTGAAGAAGAACTTTTAAATCTGGTGAGATGGTGTCCCATCCTGACTTAGGTTCTTCTGGCTCCATTTCTACCTCTCAAGATGTAGAAGAATCGAAATCTGAAGTGGAGAGATTGTTTTTCTTTTGCTGAGGAGTGGGAAATTCGCCTGTAATCATTACATATATCGAAATCCCGAGCGAGTATATATCTGCAGGAAGTGCTCTGAATTTTTCTCCTGGCTGTAAATTAGCTACCTCAGGAGCCATATAAAGTAACGTCCCTCTTCTCCGGTCAACCATCGTATCTCCATCAGTTGCTTCTATTCATGATCCAAGATCCGCAAGTTTTGCATTAAAATATTTATCAAGCAAGACATTCTCCAATTTGATATCAAGATGAGCATACCCAAGGCTGTGCATATGGCTCACTGCGTTACAAATTTGGACGATATAGAGCCTTGAGATTTCTTCTTCAATCGGGCCTGTACTCCTGATGTATGCAGAAAATGCTCCATTTTCAGCATACTCTAGGACGTTGTACATAACGCCTTCAGATTTATCTCCTACCACTAATTTCCCATCGACTCTTGAGCCTAGTCACCGAATAATATTTGGATGTCCGTCAAGATTTTCTAACATCTCGGATTCCCGCTTAACAAGTGTTTCAGCTGCAGCTTGTGAATATTTCTTATCCCTTCTCATTGTCTTGATGGCTACAAGCTTCTGGTCATTATCTGTGGCAAGGAAAACTTTGGAGCTTCCACCCCTTCCCAAAATTTTAGTGAGTTCAAAATTATTGTCTATCATTTAATAATTTAATTATAGATTTTTGCTAAAATTTTTGTTTTTATACTAGTAACAAGAGGTTATTAGACTATCACCTCAGGAATAAAAGTGAAGAAGCTTTTTAGAGGGGCTAGCTGTGCCTCTCTCGCACTGACTTTGCTTGTACTTAGTTTCCAAAAATTATCAGACCCTGTTCAAAAGATTTAAGATAGTATATCCTGGAACTGCCTCTATTATTAAAATTTTCGAAAATGAGTAAAAGATCAGGGAATCATTTTTCTTACTGAGAAACAATGCTTACGGTACATATGAGGGCATAGCTTAAGGTTAAGCGAAAAAATTTAAATTAATGGAGGTTTACAAAATTTAGGATTATTAATACGGACCCTTTTACTCATGAATAACATGTAGGGTAATGGTACGCTAACTTCCGTTTATTAAGTTAATATAACTAGTAAGGATAGAGCATGTATATCCTCATGCTCTGAATTTTCAATTCGAAACGGGAGAGTTTTAAGAGAGAAGATTTCTGATAGAAAATTTGCCCTTTTTCCTTTGCTCATTTTAGAAAATTTGCGATTTTTGGTCTTAGTATATATCAATAATTTAGGTATCCAATTAAGGTTAATAGATCCACTCCGAATACGATTATATCGGTTTATATGCTAATATGAAATATTCCTTCTTAAAGTTCTGAGCTCTACTATCTCTTGTCTCTGGCCAAGCTCATAGGTCTGAACATCCTCGCCTCTTTTAACTTTAACATAATCTGTTGTATAATTCGGTCTTCGTTCTTCAGCACAATAATGGGGGTTGGGAAAGAACATTTTTTGCTAAATCGCATTACGACCACTTAGATGCAAGAAAAAAATCCAGGATGCTTCCCAATGGAAAGGAGTTCTGAACGTGAAGCAAAGATAGATAGCACTAGAGTAAAATTTTAGTGCAGAACTTGATGATATAGACTTGATAACAGCTTCCCAAATTATGGTAAATTAATCAATCTTGTTCTTCTTACCTTAAAGCATCCCTTTTAAGGTGACCTTACAATTCAAAGTTGCTAAGAATAATATTGGGGATAAGAAGGGCGAAGAAATAAATGAACTAATATTATCACATCCTTGTAACCTTCATTCTAAACAATTAAGCATAGATCTTTTATCTCACTCGAAGTCAAAGAAACTATCATCTGTGGTCTACAGTTTTAGAGTCTTATACAAATCAAGGAGCAAAATTTATAGACTTAGTAATTCAGATAATTTTTCAATGCTCAGCATTCAATCTGGGGTTTTGGGGTTTTGGGGTTTTGGGGTTTTGGGG